AAATGAGCTGGAGGATTTGAGGTAGCATAACCGGCGGTAGAACGTAGGTTAACAATGCAGATGACTGATAGAAATGATTTTGATATTATACAAGGCCTGACAGAAAATGGAATGGTCGCTAAAACAATAATGACTTCTTTATTGGAGGCTATCTGCCAAATATCTGCAGTGAAATTCTTATATGAGGTTTGTAATATTTGTTAACTTCCAGGCTTGAATATTGCCCGTAAGTCAGCCAGGTAAAAACAAAATCAAGTTATCTACACCAACAGCTTAAAAAGGCACATTATGAAAGCCCAATAATACCATACGGTCACGTTCACTTAAAATAGTCACAAAGCAGGGGTTTAAGGTCCGAGTAAGCAGTGTCATACAGCAGAGGTCTCCGACCCGGCCGAAGTCAGATGACCCAGCGTCACGTCTCAGCCACGGAGAGGGCCCGATCGAGGTCAGGGTCGCCAGAGGGCTCGATAAATCACCCCCAGTCGGCCACACCGCCACACAATCGGCCCTGATTGTCGGTCCAGCTTCGCAGCTCTTTAGCAGGGAACTCCGGGCGGTGATGCAGACTCAAAAGTTGTTGACCAGTCATCGAGTTGATGATGGAAGGAAGATTGGCTCATCCCAATATACCTACCCACTGGCTACTAATCACAAAACGCAGTCAGTTTATGTATATGTTACAGTGCGTCCGCGAAATTCGTGAGTTTGCGAAGTAACTAGTTAATCCGCGAAATCCCTAGGGACTCCGCGAACTCACATAAACTCTCGTGAATCCGCGGAATCACTGCCGTGGCTCCGCGGAATTACTAGAGTTTCCAGTGCGTTCGTGAAGTCACTGAAAAGTCGCGGGGATCTGCGAACTTCCTAGGTAATCCGCGGAATAGTGATTCTTTTTCAGTGAATCCGCGGAATACCGATTCTTTTTTTCAGAGAATGTCCAAAAAACGTTATTTAGAGCTATTGCCGATTATTCGTAGAGGCTCAAAGACAATTGGAATTTGGAACCGAATCATGTTGCCGATATGGTGGTCGTGTTGTGCTTTGGCCGGCATGTCAATTAGGTACAGTCCACAGCAGAAGTAATGTGGGGTTTCAATCATGGGTATGTTCTGCTTCTGAAGCTTAGGAACGATTAGCCAGACTACAGTGAAACTTTGAATGTAGCTTATATGTATCGTCACCCTTGCAGCTGCAACTTTAGCTATTGACATCTTCTTTTCGATCACTCCGCATTAAACAATCGCCAGTCAAAGCCAACCGTTGAGATTGGTAAAACCCTACATTACTTTAGCGGTGGGCTGTACAATCAGTCTATCAGAATAAAAATGTCGGGACGTTTGGTAAGTTTTATGTTACATTGTTACGTAGGTATTCTAACTTTTTTTGTAAATAGGTACTATTTTCTTAGATTATAAAAAACTTGCGCGCAGCACTATTCCACTTAAACGTGGGTATTTGCTGTAAATAGTTATGTAACTATCTGAGTGGACCTCGACCTCGCAATTGCGCCAGTTTCGCAATTTCGCAAAAGTCCAAGGTCATCATTTGACTTCCAAGTCAGGTCAATGACTTAAAAAGTTGGGAAAATCGGGCCCTCTTAGAACTCCGTAAAGTGAGGATGTTACAGGGTATTTCGGGGTGCTGATCACGAATTTCATGTTAGTTTTTATCATAGACGATCGCTTCATGCAGATATGCCAGGTCGGGTTAGGGTAGGTCATGTCAACCAATAGGCGTCCTGCTTGCTATTCATAGTAGGTGTCGACTATCATTGACAGCTTTGAAGAATGTTACGAAGGCGCCAAAACTATTTCGTAAATTTTCAAATAGCTGTTAAATTCGAAATCAGCTCCAAAAACCACTCTAGAAACAAATAAAACTCAAAAAGTGAACCAAGGTCATTAATGGTCATTTACCTTGAACTGACCTCAACGTGACCTTGTCGTCCACCATAATGCATTGCATCAACATCATTATACATGTTTGAACGTTTAAAGCCACAAAAAAACTAAAAACGTGCGGACAATGTAAGCTGACGTACGCCGATTCGCGATTCTGCCCAAACTTTGTCTCAAGAAATAGGTCACAGAACAAAAGGTCAGTTGGGTCAGGGCCATGAAAATTTTAGGCTAGGTGTAAAATTGATGAACTCGAGGGTACCGAAAGTTTCGTCGTGATCAGCTGCTTTTTTCGCGAGAAATTAGCGAAAAACCATGGGGGTCCATCCGACATGAGGTATGTGCCGTGGGTATACTGTATATTCACCGCATCGGGATCTCGGTAACGGACAGACGCAGCCTTCTTGAATAGTACTATAGACGGCTGAAGTCCGCTCCAATCATGTTAACTCGTATATGACTGAAAAGAATCGGTATTTCGCGGATTCACTGAAAAAGAATCGCTAGTCCGCGGACTAACTAGGAAGTTCGAAGATCCCCGCGACTCTTCAGTGACTTCACGGATGCACTGAAAACTCTAGTAAATCCGCGAAGCCACGGCAGCGATTCCGCGGATTCACGAGAGTTTACGTGACTCCGCGGAGTCCCTAGGATCAAACAGTGAATTTGCGAACTCACGGATTTCGCAGACACACTGTAACATATATACATGAAAAGGTATACCCCAAGTCGTTTCTGTCTAAGGATTTTATTTTGGAGTGCCCGGACTTCAAGAGGCCATCGGCGCCCATTAGCGAGTGGCTAGCGGTATTGCGCACTTTAAATTGTCCATGGAGTTTACTCCGATGTACGAACTGGTGATCGATATGAACTCGCAACATGGAGAACAACTTCTTGACTGCGTGAATAATCCAGATGCATCATGCATCATGAACACCATTCAGGATACATCAACATATCTATCAGCATCAGAAGCAGACTTCACCACTTCGATTACATCAGGACCATGTCTGACCCAGAAGACATCTCAATCAACCCCAACTACATCAGAAGCCCGTTCTGACCCGTCAGACTCCTACCAAGTCCACCCAGCGGCTTCTGCCACCCGCCCGCTCTCTCGCTAGCTCGCTGAGGTAGCCGCTTCAGCGTCGGCCAAAGTTACACAACCACATCACTTCATTCCTATGCTGGCCAGGTTCCTATACAGTGCCGCGTAGCCTCAGAGACTGCCCGCATCAGAACTGAGCGCGCCCCAGGTCTGCGCTGGGCCGAATCGCGGCACCCAAACGTAATTCGGAATGAGGTGGTCGGACTGAGCGACGCTGATGCCCGCGAGGTTGTCTGAGGGTGTCTGGGGTCTCCTGGTGGTCAGGCTAGATGAGCAGAAATAGCAAGCAACTGTGAGCAGGCGGCGGGTAGCTAGCGTGTGCGGCTGTTGCGACTGTCTAGAAATAGGCAGAATGTTTGTAGACTTTATGGAGGCGACCAGGAAAATATTGAAGATAATTACATTAAAAAAATGTCTGTGCCGGTCCAATGCGATTCGCTCTAGCCACTTCAATGACTATCCTAACTATATGACGCACGTCCCACGGGCTAGCAGATATCTCCCGAAGTGCGTGCGTCCTAAAACCGCACTAAACTCCGATGGACGCGGTTACGACACCAGGCGCGGATACAAGGGGGGGCCATGGGGGCCATGGCCCCCCCCCTTGGCTGATTTAAAAAAAAAGTTAAAAAGTTAAAAAGCTGAAAAGGGGGCCTCCTGAAAATAAAGTGGCCGAAATCCGATGAGTTTTTTTTTTAACCTACCCACTTAGTTATTTCTTAGAAGACTAGCTGAGAAGACTTCTTTGTTAGAAGATTGGTAAAGCTTTTCATAACTTGGAGGTCTCTTATACTCACAGAGATGACCATTTTTACAGGGCCTCCTAACCTGCACAGAGGGCCTCCAAGCCTGCACAGATGTTGAGATGTTGCCTGAACAGCTAGATAAGCTCAATAGACGCAGTTTTTTTTGGGGGGGGGCCAACAAGTGGGAAGATGGGGCCTCCAACAGGTGGGATTATGGGGGGGGGGCCTCCTGGTTTCTAATGGCCCCTCCCTTGGAGATTTTCTGGATCCGCCCCTGTACGACACTCAAACCCAACCCAGCACACCAGTCCCCGTGGAAATCGACCGTACCGCGGCATCGCCATACTGCGTATTGCCTTCCTGCGTAATGCCTTCCTGCATATTGCCTTCCTGCGTATTGCAGTGCCGCGTATTGCCATTCGTTCGAGCGCACATCTCAAAAGATAGCTCCAACTGACTGTAAACCTGGTGACCCAGCGGTTACAGCACCAACCAGACAACTCTAAACGCCAACTCACTGACAGAGTATGAGATTCGGACGGCGGCTAGCGTCTTCGAGGAGGGATTCGGACGCCCAGACGGCTCTTGAAGAGTGAGTTCTGCGAATTTGTGCGGCTGGAGAGCGGCACGACGGACCCGCGGGTCAGCGCGAGGCCAGAGAGCAGTGGAATTATTACTGTCGGCGGAACACTTCAGCAAGGTTTATGGCATTAGGAATTCGATAAAACAGTGCCAAGGAATGAGCAATAAATAATGAAAGGAATTTGAAAAATAATACAAATACAAAAAAAAATGATTAAGGCTAAGCTTTCATAAATTACCAATAAAAGATCAGCTTAATGAAAAGAAACTACTTCATAAATAACCAATAAAACATCACGTTAATGAAATGAAACAATTATAGTCCGTTTTTCTTAAGTTTGCCCCTCACTGTAAACGTCTCTTTGAACACAGCACGAGAATTGCTAGCTGAATTACTGAGAAAACTGGTAAGCGCACATTGTATTGTAGATATGAATAATATTTTCAAAAATAAGTTTTGAACATCGACGATTTAACGTTATGTTAAGCGCCCTGCAATTTATTTATTAGTTCAGACATAATTCCTGAGAAGTCGTCTATCCCTGTGAGGCTGTAGGTATTGGCAGATACGATTTACGAGTCTGTGAAATAGTAAATAAATTTGATGAAATTGATCGTCTGTGAAATCTGGTTAAATCAGTGTGCGCCAACCAGTTTTCTCAGTTACCCCGTTTACATGAGTCATTCAGCCTAAACGGAAATATCCGATTAGCCAGGGAACGGAAAAATGCGTTTCGGTCCGGCCCCGTTTACATGAGCCTTATCGGAAAAATCCGTTCCGGAACGGATAATTCCCTTTACGCCGGCAGCCCGAAAAATACGGATATTTTGCGCATTTTTACATATCTGGCGCAGCTCTGACAATTGACCACACTCCAGTTCATATTTTCAAGTTTGTGCCGTTTGTGGCTTGGGTTGATGTGTACAGGATATGTAATTTCACAGGCTTAAACATGGAAGATTTTGATATTTTCATGGCACAGGCGATGATTTTATTAGTGCTGTGTAGGCGACATTTGGTGAACTGCCAGAAGGCAGTTTACCATTTGGTGTCTAGGACGAGAATGAAGAGCTGTGCTGCAACCCAGCAACGTCTGAGAAAGAAGCGCAGGTTAATAATAAATCTTTTGATGGACCTCCAGCAAGTTCAGAGACAGCTTGGAAATGGTGGGAGGAGGTGGATGCTGCCACGTCTCAGGAAGCACTGGTTCGAAAGAGAAGTGATGCAGGTTTGTGGCTATTTTTACCTACCTATACATTGACATTGACACATTTTAAGCACTAGGCATATTTTGTCAGTATTGTAACAAATAGAAAATGAACCTAACTCATGCTAATATGAATCCCAGATTTTAAACAAAATGTTAAAAGAAGCTTGAGCATTGCACCATCATCTCCGGCATCAGCTCTGGCCAGTGCTGATGTCAGATGATGGTGCAAAACTGAAATGGTTCAATGCCGAGCAATGCCAGCTGATGTCAGATGATGGTGATGCAAAGCTAAAATCAATGGTGCAATGCCGAGCAATGCCAGCTGATGTCAAATGATGGTGCAAAGCCGAAGTGGTGCAATGCCGAGCAATGTCGGCTGATGTCAGATGATTGTGCAAAGCCGAAATGGTGCAATGATGAACAATGCCAGCTTATGTCAGATGATGGTGCAAAGCATAAATGGTGTAATGCCGAGCAACGCCAGCTGATGTCAGATGATGGTGCAAAGCCGAGCAGTATTGGCTGATGTCAGATGATGATTGTGCAAAGCCAAAATGGTGCAAGCCGAACAATGCCAGCTGATGTCAGATGTTGATGGTGCAAAGCTGAAATGGTGCAGTGCCGAGCATTGCCAGCTGATGCTAGAGATAATGGTGCAAAGCCGAAATGATGCAATGCCATTACAAGAGATGATGATGGTGCAATGCTAAAAGTGTTTTGAAAAGTTGTTTTCCACAGAAACCTGAATTAATATTAATAATGCATTTTCACAAAATTCTGCTTAAAACAGTTGCATGAATGTAAAAGCACAAGATGCAGATTGCAGAATAGTGTACCTAAGTAAATTTGACAGTGTGCCCTTCTACACGTGTCTTCCAGCTGATGCTGGTCTTTGTTATTTCTAAAGCATCGATACTAGCCATCCTGAAAATCATGCAGGCAAATATGCAGCCCTAGTGTTGTTACTCCTCCAAAACAGTGAAACTCCTGGGGGCTCAGATTTGGCCCACTATTTTTGGGTGTCTGGTGCAGCTATTTTTTATTTTTCATATATTTAATTCTATTTTATTTTTCGCCATCACGGGGGGCATGGCCCCGTGCCCCCTCCCCCCCCCCCCATGGCTACATCCCTGAAATCATGCTAACTGATCAATCAGTTGCATTTGACAGTTCAATGAGAATTCAATTCTATTTTCACAGTTCTATTTGACAGTGGTAATCTGCTTCTGGAAGGCTATTGCAGATCCAGCACCTCTTGTTTTATCAGTTTCAATGCTTTCCATGGTTCTCCCTTGTGGCACCACAGAAACCGTTCCTGCTGTTGAGACTCAACTTTTGACTTTTCTTTGGTTTCTCTCAACTGAAACCTGCGGCTGCATTAGACATACACTCATAGCAATGTATATTGTATGTTGCTGTGATCTTGTCACAGGGTTCTGTCTTTTCTCTGTGCTTGTTTATCTTAACAGGACTACAAATGCACAAGAGACTGCACAAGAGACTGGCTACTAAAGCCATCTATCTTTATCATTTTCTCCAATCACCCTTTGCCGGCCTGTCCCCTGTTGGCCTATTCAGTGTACCTACTGTTTTGTATATAACCTCTAACTTGATGTAACCTATGTAACCTGTTGTTTTCAGCCTGTTGCAATATTTATCTCCCATGGATTTCAGCATCAAATTCTTTGTATTTATTGCCTGCAGGTATGGGAAGATGATCGCTGGCGGGAAAACTTCCGAATGACGAAGACATCCTTTTTGAAGCTTGTTGACCTCGTACGCTACAAGATGGAGCCGAAACCGACAGCTGTGAGGGAACCCATCCCATTGGAGAAGAGAGTGGCAATGGCATTGTACAACCTTGCCAGCAACATGGAATACCGTGTCACAGCCAACCAGTTTGGATCCCATAAAACAACAGTAAGTAGAACATGGCCGGCCTCAAAGATGTGATAAATGATAATAGGTATGCATTGTGCAGTAGGTATCCTAATGGAGTCAATGCCAGTGATATATGCTTTTGATGTATGCTTCTTCATCAGCAGAAGGGTAGGTGCAGTGCTACCGTGCAAAGGCAAAAAACGATTATGCCAGGCCAGAGGTCATCAGGTTGACCTCTGATGCTAGAGGTCAGTGGTCAACCTAACAATCGTTTTTGCCTTTGCAAGGCAGAGTGCACAAAGACCTCTTATCAGCACACCAAGTGCACAAGTTCATTGTTACATCTATTATACATTGCGTGGCACCAGTGATGCCCGAACCAGCCAGTGCCCTGGAAGTCAAGTATCAGTTCATCATAATGCGCGTTTTTTTCTTTGTGTGCTCAGGTCCTTTCATATTGTTTTTTGATACACATTAACCGATTGTGACGTTCTTGCCGCAGGTGAGAAAACATCTTCTGGGGTTCTGCTCAGCAGTTGTCGAGTGCATGGCCGACTACATCCAGCTGCCGTCTGCTGCCGAAGCCATTGAAATCGCACGTCGTTGGGAGGCCAAATGGTCGTTCCCGCAGGCCTACGGTGCTATCGATGGCACACACATTCCAATCACGGCACCGAGCGACGGCTTTCGGGACTACGTCAACAGAAAAGGCTGGCCTTCAATACAGCTCCAGGCCGTCTGTGACGACAGATACTTGTGAGTACTTCGAATTGGGCTACCTTGTACTACCGTGATCTTTTTTAGATGTGGTACCAAACTGTACTATTATGCTTGATGGCTTGGTTTATTTACTTTTCAGTGACGGGATGGTTAAATGCTCGACGCTCGTGTATTACTCAAAAGCAAATGGAAGATGTTAAGCGATGATGATGAGTTTTATCTGCTACTGCTACATTATGAGTTCACTATTGCAATTCGGAAATTGATTGCTTTGGCAATTTAAAACCCAATTATTCCACATAACATCATTAGCGACCCAAGCCATGGATGTTGGTAAAATGTTGTCAAGTAATGACAAAAATGGTATGTCAAAAGGCATGCAATTTACAAGATACATCAGCTCAGCAAGCATGTTAAGTTGTACATTTCTTGCAATGAATATCTGGCGTTTGACCTAAACATATCGGTAGCGAGTAGCGACAGTAGCAATGTCAGTGGTATGATGGATATGATGTACCGTGCTTCCGTCTCGTTATGAATTTGTGAATTTCACATTATATTCCTTGGCGCAGGTTTCGCAACATTAACTGCGGCGCACCTGGTAGCAGCCATGACGCAGGAATTCTTGCGGCATCTCCTCTCCAAGATCATTCGCCCAGATTACCAAAGGTAAACACGCACTTTGTATCGTCTTCTTCATGCGCAATGTGCTAACGTTTGGTGTCTCGCTCGGCCAAAGCGTATCTTGTAAGCGGCCAAAGCGCCCCAGCAATTGCCGGCCGCCCTGCAGCCGTCGGCCGCCGGCGAGCTGGTGGCACGGGACGCCGAGCCGGACTCGAGGCTGGACTCGTAGGTCTTTCAACGAACTATAAAAAGCCGTATACCGTTTGTCGCTGATTCTTGGTTTTCGAGATTTAAAGGGGGTCGAAAAGGTTCCCGCCCGATTCCGAACCTTTGAGAGCCCGCCCGGAATAGGGTTAATGCGTGCTATTGAGTGTTTGTTTCCGTCATATTTCAGGAGCCAAGGATGATTGAGGGCGTTCCTGTACCACTCTGCCTGCTCGGGGACCCTGCGTACCCACTGCAGCCGTGGCTGATGAAGCCATACGCGCTGAGTCTGGCGTCGGCACAGAGCAGAGGCCTGACGGATGAGCAACAGCAGCTGGAGGCCGAGCGGGAGTCCTTCAATGTTTATCATAGCGCAGGTCGTATGGCCATCGAATGCGCATTTGGTCGACTGAAGGGTAGGTGGCGCAAACTGCAAAAGAGGATAGAGGTAGACGTGGACAAGGTCCCTCTGATTGTCTCAACGTGCTGCATACTTCACAATTTTTGTGAGACTCAGTCCGAGGTGTTTCACGATGCTTGGCTTCCCAGTCCGGATGTAGCGCGCCAGTACCCCCAGCCAGCTGGACGCGCGCACCCAGCGTTGAATGAGCGGACTGCGCGTGACGCCAGAGATGCCGTGCGGGTGCACTTAGCGAGACACTGCCCACTCAGACAGTCCACTCTGCGCTTCTGATGTGTGGTGTGCACTGCGCGGCGATTATTCAGATTGAGTTTACCGCCAGCTGTGTGTGCAGTTGTGAGCAGGAAAGTGCCAACGTACCATGTAAGCAGTGCACTGTTCGGGACGTCGCTGTTGTAAACCGTGTTTACATTGACCGCTGAATAAACTGATCATCTATATATGAGCTTCCCTCCAAGCGCATTTTGAATTGATTTGTCCACTTTTTTTGTCCACATTTGGTCAGGTCAAAGCTCAGGTCAGGTGATGCAGGGGTCCAGATAGGCGGAATAGTGGCGCTAGAGGTCTAGTTTTTTATCAAGTTTGACCAAAACCAATGACATCGAAATTTACTCGTCAGTTTGCATCAAAGTACATCATTCGACCTGACTCAGTGATGACCTCAGGTCACGTGGACTCAAGGTCAGCACGCATATCTCTCGGTGCGTCTGAAGGAGCTGAATGCTACCAGGGCCCTGTTTCACCGCGTGGCGCTGCAGTGCGGCGGCGTGCGCTATGTCACTCGAATGACGTTGCGTACGATCCGTGAGATTCCGATAAACCTCGTTTGGAACAGAGCTGTGTTTGCGTATACTGTTTACCTCGTGTATACTACTACCTGGCCCCTGACCATTCGCGTAGCAGTATCTATTCTCTGTGATTACCGTTTTTCTGTCTTCACTAGCGATGTCAATTGTAGAAAATCGGGCTACCGATACCAAAACAAATACCAAATAAAACCATGGGAAAATAACGAAACCAAGCCAACTTGACATGAAGAAAATGCCAACTTCTTGCCAAAGCACAGCATCTAATACAATACTGAGTACCTATTCAAAATACCAACAACATACTAAAACCGTAACGAATGCACCCGTTACTTGATGAAGGAACCCCCGGCCCTTCGCGACGTGCACGTGTGACAGCTTCGCCCGCGAATCACGACAATCAACAAACGCACGTCTGACAAAGTAAATCTTGATTATATTTTGAGTTTCCGCTGTGCGATAACACATATATTCATATTTACATAGGTGAACGCGACCGCGAACGGCGACGGTGCGCCCGGCGCGCCGACGCAGCGGCCATGTCGCGCATCACGCCGACCGCCTCGCGGAGCAGGTTGGTGCCGGCCCGCATCTCCTCCAGGAGGGCGTCCAGCACGCGGTCCTCCCGCTCGTCGCGTGCCTCCTCCCGCGCCGCCGCCCGGCGGTCCTCCTCCTGGGAGGCCTCCAGGGCGGACAGCACCCGGTCCCGGTAGCCGGTCGCGCTGCGGCGCCTGGCCTGCCGCTGCCGAGCGGCCCTCTCGGTGCCGCTGAGGCCGTCGTCGGCTGGCGGAGCTGGTTGTGCGGGCGTAAGGCGGGTGGGGTGGCGGCTTCGGGTGCTGGAAGTGGTTGAGGAGGAGGAGGAGGAGGTGGTGCGATTACGGGATTCAGGAACGGAGCGAGGAGCGGGGGGCGACAGAGAGGACTGGTGGCTCGATACGGATTGGTCGTCAGGAATGTCATGGAGGTGTGGCAGAGAGTTGTCTGATTGAGAGGAGCGCGGGCTTTGGAGCAGGTCGGAAGCTGAGTGCGGAACGCAAGTAGATGGACCGGGGCGTGCGGTGGAAGACGGGGTAGGGCTCAGGGTAGAGGTGGTCGGGAGGGCGGCAGAGGCGGGCGGGCGAACGGCAGAGGTGGTCGGGCGGGCGGCAAAGGCGATCGGGCGGGCGGCGGAGGCGGGCGGGCGGGCGGCGGAGGCGATCGGGCGGGCGGCGGAGGCGGGCGGGGTCTGAGGCGCGGCAGAGGCGGGCAGGCGAGCGGCGGTCGGGCGGGCGGCGGAGGCGGGCAGGGTCTGAGGCGTGCCAGCCTCAAAGAGGTCCTCGTAAAGCTGTTGCAGCTCCGCGTCGCCCGCGACGGTGGATATGTCGTCGGTATTGGCGTCCACGGCTTCTCCCCGGAAGGAGACGACGTTGTCTTCTGAAAAGACATGACGAGAATCGATAAGACTCCGTAATGAGTAGGCCTTTCCTTAGGACACGCAGCCCTTTGGAGGGAGCAGAGGTGCCTTAACTTTTCATAAAGAGATTTGAGACACACGGTGCAATAAGCTAGGAAGCTAGGAAGCCATGACGGCCTCTGAGGGGCCCCACACTAGGAATTTTGAAGGCTCATAACGGACCCACTGAGCTTCCTCGCACCCACCGAGCTTTTGTTTCACACGTGGGATTAGTTAGGACGTCAGAAAATGTAGACAATATTATAATGTATCGTTAATCTGATGCTTAAAAAAGAAAAAAATGCACCAGACACACCAGACACCAGACAAGCTTGAGCATTTATTCAGCATCACATAGAAAAGGTCTTTATCATAGAAAAGTATCTTTATGAAGTTGAAGTAACAAAACAGAACATAAAAGAAAACCCTTGGGCCTATCAGAAAAGAGTGACACAAATATCTCACCGGGCAGTGGAGGATCTGCTTGCGGGATCCCAAGATCCATGGTAGAGCCGGTGCTGGTGGCGACCGGTCGGCCACCAAGTAGCTCCTGTAGCAGATCTTGGTGCGGCATGTCTTCTCCACTGCCCGCTCCCGAGCGTGCCCGGGCCCGGGCGAGGCTGTTGAAACGCAGCCGGAGCGTTTTTAACTTGGTTCGGCAAACCTCCGCCGGCCGGTCGTACCCCATGTCTCCCATGGCCTCACTGAGGCACTGGAATATCTGAAAATGAAGGACAAAGCAAACAATTCTGTAATTAAATGGACCTCGAGAAGAGGCACACAGCCGGGTAATAAAAAAAAAATCATTCGGTTGGGTCCCTGAGGCATACTGGGAAAATCCTCTATGAGATAGGCAAGTCCTCGTCAAAGGAATTTTTATTGTAGGGGGGGGGGGGCAAGAAACTAGGAGCTAAGCCTAGGGAACCCCCAAATCCTGTTTTCTCACTGGATTTAGGACACTTATTTTGACAAAAATTTTGTGAAAAGTTAATTTTGTGAAAAGCTCACGTTTTGACTGGGGGGGGGGGCAATGTTGGTCACTGGTGGTGGGCAATCCGCTCGACTGTCGACTGGGGACTGGGGAAGCGACCCCCCCCCCCCCCCAGTTAACATGTTAAACTAGGCCCTGGATATAGGTATACATTTAATAAGTCCGTACAAAAGAACGATGAAGTCTGAAGATGCTATGATGTATTGCAGTTTGAGAAATCCAATCTACCGAGGTCATCAGGGCGTATCACTGTGTTTGGGAAACAATTAGGGACTGACAAAGATGCATCAGACACACACAAACACCAGGCAGCCTTATTGCCAGCCTCAGCCTGACACCTCGCGGCTGTCAAATCAACTATTGCTATACGACTGCCCGCTAGGCCGCCCATTGCTGTTCAACTGCCCATGCTATGATGAATGAAAATGACATCAGACATTGTTTTCAAAAGCATGGAAGCAAGGCTTAAATGACATTCTTTGATGGCAATTAAGGGAACATTATATGGTTTGCACTGTGAAATTCTAATGCGATGTGAGAGTGAAAATTTAGAGTGAATCATAATTAAAGAGTGTCAACAAGCCAGGACAAAGCAGCCAAGGCAAGATTTTGTTTCCCAATCAGCTGGTTTTGTTTATAACATTTATCTGATAAATACCATACCATGGCTAGCAGTGGCGCGGGAAGTACTTTCAGGCTGGGAGGGGGGGGGGGGCACAACTGACCCTCTCTGGAGTCTGGTGTAATCCATAATAGAGATCAACCTAGGGCACCTACCCCCAAATTTAGTTTTCTCATCAGTTTTAGCCTTTAGGTCACTTATTTTTCACAACTTGGCCTTTTCATCGAAAACAACAAAACAAAAATATTTGCAAAAAAGTGAGGTATTCCGTCTCAGCTTGGTCAAAGGACTTCATTTTTTGGAACCTCGAATAAAGGCTTAAACCTGTTGCATGAGCTGTCTAGCCAGAAAAAGAGGGAGATTTTTCACTTAAATGTTTTAGACTCTTCCCTAATTTAGGGAGGGGTTGTCACACAAAGGTTTTCCAACCAAGGAGAGCTGCTGTAGGTTGGTAGGTTGTAGGTTGGTAGATTGCTAGTTTGTAGGTTGTAAGTTTGTAGGTTGTAGGATAAATTAGATCAGGCTAGGTTTGTTTTGTTTTGGGCAGAAAGAGCATCTACGGGTTGTCGGGTATAGCTCCTCCTCTTGGTTGAACAACCTTTGTCTGCACTAGTACCTACCTAATACTTAATAAGTTTAACTTAGGCAATTAGCTAATGTCAAATGACCTTAAGGCCAATTAAGGTTGGATTAGGTTTTGCTATTTCTGCTTGTAGCACTGGCACAACTTCTTTATTCAATTTTGGACTTAAGGTGCAAAAAAGGGCTTCAACCCAAGCCTGCGGCTAGCTACCTTTCACTTCTGCACCCTCTAAAAACTGGAATTGACAAAACAAAAACATGAAAGGAAAGAATACATACTTCTTAGCTTTCAAAGTGACACCTCACATCACAACTTACCATACTTTTTTACACAAAACAGGTATAACTTAGGCCTGATCACACATGGGACGTAAGGCTAAGCGACATTGATAGGCTTTTGTTATTTTTGCATGTAATGTACCTGTTTTTTTAAGCAAATATTCAAACTAATATTTTCCAGATTGATATACTATTTGTCACAAAATGGTATGAAATGTATCAATTTTGAGCCTGGCGTTAAAAAATTACATTTTCATCAAACCCGTGAACAATAAATTGATTGACCTGACAGCATAAATTTTACTCATTTCTCTTTTGCTAAGCAACACAAGCATAAGTTGAAGTCCAATTGGCAGATCTGGTGGAAGAACTAAACACTATTGTGGCTGAATTTTTGATAATTTGTGATTTTGTTGTAAGTTGAAAATGGCCACCAGCCCACCAATATTTTCCAAAAAACCCATTGCAACACCCCAATTGATGATCAAGCACACAAAGCAACAAAATGGGCGGTGTTATAACTTGAACTGTTTTGTTTTAATCTTTCAACCAATGGTCTTCCAAATACCAACCTGGGAGTTCCGCGCTCGCCTTCCGTCGATCGCCCCCAACAGGTTCTTCTCCTGCACGATACGCAGGAGCGCTCGCTCCTCATCCTCCGTCCAATGCTTCATGGCTGGCGACGGCTCCAAGGAATCGAACAAAATGTTTACAAAAACTGATCTAAT